AATAACATTTCCACATGAATTAAATACAGTATTATAAACAGTACAAAAGATAATCAAGGTTCATTGAAGGTATCATGATGTGTGTGGCTTATATGTGCCATATGTGTTTACATGGTTCTTTCTATACATGTATGTGTTTAATTGTTTCTTTATTCTATTGGAGAATATCCACTGAGCTTTATTTGCTCAGGGCGAGTTAACCTGTTTAAAACTCGCATCGCAGGTTTTGAGACTGGTCCATAGAGAGTCCGCGGACAACTGCTGCAGTTCATCTGTAGAAGACTCAGTCTTCAGGGTAGCTTCTCATTTTGAGGTGTATTTTTGTTTCTTCCTTCCATGGCATGTACAGGGCACACAGTTGGGCCCATTCCATTTTGTACAACTAGTATCATGTTATGTATATATCCATTACATTATTAATGTAAACAATTTCTGTATAATAAAATAGTCAGTAACCATTATGACATCAGCATGTCAGAACATACATTCAACCAGTTTTGTAACGTCTCGACTCGGTTCATTCGGGTTAACGGGTGGACCGGGAAGGGATGTTACAACTAACTCATTTGGATGTGTATCTTTTGTCTACCCTTTTTTATGGAATGTAAGGGCACACAGTTGGGCCCATTTCATTGTTAAACACTAGTAATATGTTTTGTAAAAATAATTCATTATTAATGTAGACAACATACAGGGCACACAGTTGGGCCCATTTCATTTTAACACTAGTATCATGTCTTGTAAAAATAAATTACATTATTAATGTAGACAACATCAGCATGATATAATAGTCAGTATCCATTATGATATCAGCATGACAGGTCATAAAGTCAATCAGTTTGTAGCGTCTCGGTTCGATTCATTCGGGTTAACAGGTGGACCGGAAAGGGATGTTACAAAGTTGATCAAGATGATCCAACTTCATTATACAAAAACTCGTAATAATACTTCTAAATATGAATGTTTAGTTAAAAGTTGCCAAACGTAGTTTTTAGTTAAAAGTCTAAGTTGAATGTTTCTCAATGAACTGAATTGTGACTAATGCTACAGTGTTGTTCTTCAAGGTATGGGATGGGATTAGGGTTTTAAGAGAGAGAAGCCGGAGAAGATAGTGATCCGAATGGTGGTGGAAAGAAAATGGATGCATTTTTTTTATTTTTTGTTTTTTCCTGGTAAAAAATTTTACTTTATTAAATGATATGTGTGATAAATTATTAATTTTTTTTAGCAAAAATAATTATTTTTTTATTTATTGAAAAGTACAATGCGCCAAAATAACATAATAGATTACACAATATGAGTAACCATCAACTCAAGACCTCGATCATTTCTTACATTAATTTGATCAAATTATCCTTCATCTAAAAATTAATAGTTACTTGTAAACTATTTATGGTATTTAGTATAAACAAATGTAATATTAGAAAATTATCATTTATTACTTCTTGAAATACACAACAATTTATATTTTGAGACAAAATGATAAAAAAATATTTATATTTTGAGACAAAAGAAGTATAATTTAAAATAATTAATTATTTATATAATCAACATGCAATAATCTTAAGCGTTTTATTTTTATGGACAAATAATAACAAATGTCATTAAACAAAGCGTCAGCGTGATGAATTATTAATTGTGTCTATTAACCTAATGAAAGTTGTTAAGTGTTTGTATTAATTTTCAGTAATAATTTTTCTTAATTTATCAAAAATAAAAATCGAGGGACGTAATTGGAGGGTTGAATTTAGTCAACAAGAAGCACAATGAAGATGCTCAACATAAGGTGTATAACTCAACATAAGGTGTTGGAATTGCAGAACAATGAGAGAGAGCTACGTATCAAAAAATTAATCATTACATGAGGCACAAGGAAACATCAGGTCACACAATAAATAATTATTCTCATTCATAGACCAACCATTTCGTTGCATTACGAGTTTATTCCACAAAATTAACTATTTTGATAGTTATTAACTATTTTTGCAGTTTTTCATAAAATGCTAAAAGTTAAACGTTATATGAATTAACTTTTCACAAAACGCTACCTTAAACGCTAAAAACTAATTCAAACGCTATATTATCAAATATTATTAAAAGTAGCGTTTAGTATTTTGACCAGTCAAAAAGGTAAAAGCTATTTAACTTAAATAATAAGTAGCACCACATGTGTAAAGGGATGTAGAGGTCGGAAGCAGAAAATTTAGTCAAAATGAGTGAAATTAAAATTAATAAATTTATTAAATAACAATAAAAGTGTAAAAAAAATTATGAAACTTAACTTTTAAATTTTAATACAATAAGTTTTAGTATCTTCGCTCTAATTTAGAAATGTATTTTCTTTTCATTAATAATAACAATAATAGATAATCTGAAGAGAAAAAAAGAAAAGAAAATCTTATGTATCTTCCCAAATCCGTTGTTCTATAATTTTTTTAAAAAAATTTTATCCCATTCTTATTTAACAATGTCGTGTTTGTAATTTTTCATTGTTGAATAATTTATAATGATTGATTTTTTTGTTTTTGAAGATTAAATTTTATAATGATAGATTGAAAGATAGTCATTTAAAAACCAAAAAAGAAAAAAAAAGGTGAAAGAAACGTATAATTTGATTTCTATATCTTAAAATTATAATGGGCAATTTTTTATTTATTTAATTTTGAAACATGCAGTTAGAGGAAAATGAATCCTCAATTTACATTGTGACTGGAATTTAACGGTAATAACTAAATCTCCTATTATCCTTTAAAAAAAAAAAAATTAACCGTAATAACTAAATCTCCTATTATCCTTAAAAAAAAAAAAAAGAATCTCCTATGGAAAAAGATATTCTTTTATGGATTAGTTATCTGTGCGAAAGAAATTAAGAGCCTGCCACTTGATTGAAAAGACAAGTGGATGATCATATCCAAGAAAACAGAGAAAAAAAACTGATTTATTTATGTGAAGCACTATTCGCGCCAAAAAAATTTATTATTTACTATTTACACCAAGTTTAGGTAAATACTTCCCTCATCTTATATTGGGCAGATGCATACTCTTGGCATCCTAGATGAGGGATTAGGCTCCAATTCCACAAAACAAATCACCATATTACGAGTCATTCCTCTCTCTTAAGGGTTTGTTTTCAAAAATTACTTGTCACTGTTTGAGTAATTAATAGCAGTTTGAGTAGTATTTCATAAAATACTAAAAAGTTAAATGTTATATGAGTTGACATTTTATAAAATGTTATCTTAATATTTAAAAATTAGTTTAAACGCTATATTATCGAACGTTATATTATCGAATACTATAAAAATAACGTTTAGCTTATTGAATGATCAAAATATTAAAAACTACTTAAAAAACTGTTATTGAACATAGCCTAACACTTAGGCGTGAATTGAAAATGTGGTAAAATGAAATATCACTTTGTTTGAGACATAATGTTACTAAAATGCATAAATGAAATTGTAATCCCTCTTCTATCCCCGCATTGTATTCTCTGTTGATCTTGGTTTTTTTTTTATTTGTGATTTAAAATTTTTGCATGATAATTTAAAAAGTAACTAAATCACTTGAATTATAATAAAAAAATTTCTAATTTAATTAAATTTTCATTTATTTCCCTTAATTACTTGAATATCAATAATTCTTTTTCTATTAATTTATCATTATAATTAAGAAAGAGAAAAAGAAAGTTGATGAGACAAGTTTTATGAAATAGGAGACAATAGTTGTTGTATTCAATAAAAATAAGTAAAATTAAAAAATTAATTCATATTCTTTTGTAAAAATACAGTATGATCCATGTGGTTTGCAAAACATATAGTCTATTCTCATTTTTTTTTAAAATACATCAATTTTTCTTACATTTTGCTTCTGTTACAATACTAGGTCCTTCTGTCAAAATTTTCCATCTTTTCCATCAAATCAACAATAAAACACAAAGGTTAAAGAAAAAAATACTTAAATATTATATAACAAAATTACAGTATAGTCCCTATAGTTTGAAAAATATAACTAGATATCTCTATGTTTTTAAAAAATAAAAGAGTTATTTTCATAATTTCATAAGATACTTAATAGAAAAAATGAAAAAATTTGATAAAAAAACCTTTTAATCTAATAAAAGTAAATTATAAAAATATTTTAGTGTATTTTAAAAAAGATAGGAACGAACTAATTATATTTCGCAAATTACAAGAATCGTTTATATTTCGCAAATTATAGGAATCGTATTGTATTTTTTCTTATTTTTTTAAAAAAATGTAATTTCTTTGAGAATGTAGAGCGTAAAAATTTTGATCCTCCCAATAAAATACATCTCCTGAGAATCTTACTTATATTTTTATTTTTACCACAATTAAAATTACACAACCAACACATTTTTCTATTAATATTCTTTAATTTTTTTTAAACAGTAATCAACTAAAAAGCAACCGATAAAAGTGACAGCAGAGATATGATAATAAAGAATTATTAATTACTAATAATAAGGTCTAAGTCTCGGGGCCTCAAAAAATGGCTTTTATTAAGGTGGAGAGAGAGAGAGAGAGAGAGAGAGAGAGAGAGAGAGAGAGAGGGTCCCTTAGATTGGTGGGATTTGCATAACAAAAGCATGACATCTGAAGCGAAAAGCTTGTCCCCACTCTCAAACACTTATCGTTATCCGTCTATTTTTATCCATCTTTTTGTTGCCTAGTGTTGCCCCTTTGTGGTCCCCACTACCCCCTCGTGTCCTCTTCCACGTGTCGCCCTCTCCCACGTTTTCCAATTACACGTGTCTTCCTCTCAACGGTGCAGTTCCCTACTTTGCGTCACCGACCCATCACCCTCTCTCTATACCAATTTGCATGTCCTCATCAACCTTTGCATTGCATGAATATAAATTTACCTAAAACAACATGGTTAATTAAGTAAATCACTACCTCACGAAATTACTAATCTACCCTCATTTCTTTACGTGTCAGCATTCTTATTGGTTAATTAGACTATACTATATATCGGAATTTACTACTTTGTCTCTCCCCATATGCCCATTTAAGAGAAATTAGTGATGCTCAGAGCTCACATTTAAGCAAAATATATATTTTTTAATTGAAATGCTCTTCTTCTCTGCTAAACCCTCAAAGGCTTATATCTCAGTTTCTCCAATTCACTATTGCTACTAATACAGCAATGGAGAGCACAGACTCGTCGTCCGGTTCGCAACAGCCGAACCTTCCACCCGGTTTCCGATTCCATCCGACCGATGAAGAGTTAGTAGTTCACTATCTAAAAAGAAAAGCATCCTCTGCTCCTCTTCCGGTAGCGATTATCGCCGAAGTCGATCTTTACAAGTTTGATCCATGGGAATTACCAGGTTTTTAATTATATTTTTTTTAAAATTATATTTATTATCAATATTGGCAGTGGCTTGTTTCTTTTTTTTTTTTTTTTTTTTTTTTTGTTTTTTTTTTTTTTAATATGTGTCGTGTTCTTGTATCAAGTGGGGTGATTGCTTTAAAAAGAAAGTGTTAACGATGGTGATGTTGTGGTTTTGCAAGCGTTAAGTGCACGTTTGCGAGCAAGAATGGGTATTTTTTCACGCTCCAAGAGATTCGTTTTTTTTTTTTTTTTTTTTTTTTTTAATATGTGTCGTGTTCTTGTTTCATGGGTGTGATTTGCTTTTAAAAAGAAAAAAGTGTTAACGATGGGATGTTGTGGGTTTGCAGCTAAGGCCACGTTTGGCGAGCAAGAATGGTATTTTTTCAGTCCAAGAGATCGAAAATACCCAAATGGAGTGAGGCCAAACAGAGCAGCAACTTCAGGGTATTGGAAGGCTACAGGAACAGATAAGCCAGTTTTAACTTCTGGAGGTACTCAAAAAGTAGGAGTTAAAAAAGCACTGGTTTTCTATGGAGGTAAGCCTCCTAAAGGAATCAAAACGAATTGGATTATGCATGAATATCGTTTAGCAGATAACAAAGTCAATAACAAGCCACCAGGATGTGACTTGGGTAACAAGAAAAACTCCTTAAGGGTAATTATTTTTCTTTTAATTTTCTTGATTATTTTTAACTTTCTTGGAAAATTAATAGTCATTCCTCATTTCTTGATTCTCGATTTTTATTTCTTCTTAGCTTGATGATTGGGTGTTGTGTCGAATATACAAGAAAAATAACACACATCGACCGTTGGATCATGATAAAGATGATTCAGTTGATGATATGCTTGGGTTGATCCCACCTTCAATATCAGTTGGCAATACCAACAATAACAGTCAACAAAATGCCAAACTACAGTTTCTTAAAGGCACAAACTACGGATTGTTAGTTGAAAATGAACAGAATTGTTTATTCGAAGGAATGATGCATAATGGAGAAATCAACCAAATGGGCTCTTCTAATAGGCCTGGAGAGCTTTCTGTGCTTCCTCTTAAAAGAACATTACCATCTTTATACTGGAATGAAGAAATCGACGCAGCTGGCGCTTCATCAAGCAAGAGATATCAAGCAGACAGTGGAGATGGAAGTGTAGTAAGAAATGATGGGAATGGTTCTATAGCTTCTCTGCTTAGTCAACTACCACAAACACCTCCATTGCACCAACAAACAGCGTTGGGATCTCTTGGAGATGGGATTTATAGGCCACCATTTCAGTTTTCAGGCTTGAATTGGTTTTCTTGAATCTTGATTCATTAATTTTCAGGTGGCGGGGGTATTCATGGTTACAATATATACGTATATATAGATATAAGCATATTGTTCTATGTATTATATTTATTAATTAGGGGTTATATTATTGAGGGTAGAGGAAATTATGGAAAATTCTCACATGGATAGAAAAAAAAAAAAAATGACACGTTATATACTTGTTTATACGATAGTTTGAGACTCTGTCTATGATCAGCTTCAGATTGGGTATTATCGCTAAGAGATTTTGGTTATTGGGGGAAAGAAGAGATTTAGAGAGTAATCAATGGCCTCAAAAGTAATTTCTTCCATTACTGTAACACATGTAGCTGCCGTTCAGGTGAGGCCATCAAATACTCTCAGATTATTTTAAGTAAATATATAGTTTTTTTTTTTTATATATAACATTTATACATATTTTGTTGTTATAGCTAGGGATATGCAAAAAGAAATATTTGAGATCACTATCTTGATCATGTAGAAAAATAAATGTGATGATAAATGATGATTATAAGTTTGGTTTTGGTACATATTATGATATTAACATAGAAGTGGCAAGTGATTATAGAACTCTTTTAGCTTATTAATTGCTTATTTTAAGGAATTATTTCTTAGATGCTTGATTTTTCAATATCTATTCATGTATTAATTATTTATTATGAAAGATTATGCATTTTTTGACTGATTTTTTATTTTGTAATTGCATAAACCTAGAAGGGAAAATTATTTATATTTTGAGATCAATATAAATAATTAATTTGATTTCAAATAGTTAGATGTCTTCTTTGTTTGTGTTAAATTTCAATAGGCAAGCATATAGGATTTAAATTTACTTCTGCTTGAAAAATAATTTTCTTGTTTCATTTTTTCATAAAAGTGTCTATTTTCACAATTTTGGAAAATTTCTAGATGGATTCTTCTGCTAGTTGTTCTCCATTTTGAAGTTTGAGTACATTTTGCATGATCATCAACTTGAATTGCATTTTTAAAGAGATATTAATAATTATTAGTTCTATATATATAATTATTGGAATCAATAATTAAAACTTATAAGAACAAGTACCACTAGCATTTAACGATCCTTTTATATATGTTGGACAAATATTTTTTTTTCTGTATTTTTCTATTATCTCGGACAGACTCTTCCATTTGCATTAGACAATAAATTAACAATTCAATGGTTAAATATTTGTCGTATAGTATAAAAAGTCTAGAGTTCAAACTCTGACGATATTTTTTTCCTTTTAAGAATTTTTCATATAGCAAAAACAAAATATCTACCTTTGTATTTATATACACATACGTTGGCTATAGAATGAAAAACCCAAAAGAAGGTATAATACAAATGGGTATATAATTTTATAAAAGATGGAAACGTTACATAAGTTTGCAATGCGACAAAAGAGGGCATGTATTTGTAGAATGACAGAGAGGGATAGATGATCTTCTGATCGATGATACCAAAGAAAAAGCTTAGACAGAAAATGAAGTTTACTGATCTCTTTTTCTTTTCATGATATCAAACAAGATATGACTTAGGCATTAAGGTTTTCAATGTAAATAGAGAGTGATGTTGAAAATTAAAATTTATTTCTTTTTTTCAAAGCAAATAACCTTATATATAAAATTTATTTTCTTTTTTTCCAAAAGCAAAACATTATATATATAGTTATTAAAAAAATAAATATAATATAATATATATATATATATATATATTATGTTTCTTGAATATACTTATGTTTCTTGAAATATACTCATGAATGCTGCCCTATATAGGGTTTTTTCATCAGCTTTTCTTGCGTATAGAAAGTTAAAGAAGTGCACTATTTAGTGTTGTAATTTATCAGGTGTGATGTGTTGTAGTGTTTCTAGAGAAAGCAGGAGACACGCTTGTAATAAATAATTTTGGATATAACGAATCAATGACAGAAAATATGTACCTGAGATAATTTTGAACAAGAAATTTTATCTTGAAGAAAAATCTGAAAATTATATGTAATTGGCTCTTTATATATAAAATTATATTAAAAATAATACAAAGAGCAGCCTAGATTAAATCAGAAAATTATGTTTGATATTAGCTCCAAAAGAATAAAAAGACAATTGAGGGGGGGTGGGTTTCATTTTCTTTCATTGTTTTTTGATTGTCAAGACATAGCTAGGTATATTCCAATATGACTATGACCCAGCAAATTGACAACAAGAGGCTACCTCTTTTCTCCCTTTGCTGACTATGGGACCATATACATATACATATATATATTTCTTTTATCAGAAGGGAATCATTATCCTAAAACCACACAAATCATAATTTCTTTTAATTCCAATTCCTTTCCAAGGAAAACGTACAAATCTACTTTACCAAATCTTGATGTCATTAGTGCACAATTTTGGAATGCAGAATTGAAATCATCAAATTTAATATTACTCCATTTCCCAATTTCCTTTTCTGGAGTTTGCTTCCAAATACTTTTCCAAAAAATATCATCTCTATACGTTTTACTTTTCTTTTATACATACCAAGTACGTATATATCTTGATTATAATACTTGTAAGTCAGTATTTTTATCGTTAGAGGTAAAGTCAAGAACTTTTGAATATCTGAGTCAAGAAAAGCATGTGATTGAGAAAAATGTCAAAAAAACTGTGAATCCCAAGTTTTGAATTGAAGTTCAAAGTGTCTGAAAAAAAAATCATTCTTAAAAAGTAATGAGTGTAGCTCCTATTGAGTGGGCGTGCAAATTGTTTAGGTCTCTATCTGCTAAAAGATAGACTCGTCAATGCTTAGATGGTCAAGAAAAAGTCAATAATTTTTTTTTTTTTTTTTATCAACAATGAACCTACCAAAAGTAAGGTATTTTCATTTATGACCACATGTCTGGCCAACTAATATTCTATACAATCTTTAAGCCCATGATTTAAACTAATTAGATACGGTTAAGCTGGATCATTAGCATCTAATTTTCGGCTTATACATATAAATTGACAGATGTTAGTAAAAGCTGTTCCTGGTATAAAAAGCACCGTCTGGACCATTGAGGATTAGTGAGCAAGTCCCCTCATATCCTCTAATTGTGGCACTTGTTAGGCACACGGTTGGCAATCGCTAATTAAGATGTGACCCACAATTGAAAATTAAGCTTACTGATTGATTTCAAGTGTTCATTTTGCAGCCCAAGAGATAAGATTTATAGTTATTAGGTTGACACTTTTTTTTTTTTTTTTAAATTGTGTGAAAAAGGAAATTCATTATATTAATTTGCACGTACGGAAAAATAAATAATTGTGCAATATCATTTTCAACATTTATTCGCTAACTAGCATTATTAGACATGCACTAATTCTGTATAGAATGAGTTCCAATTCTCATGCAAAAATTTGTGTGATTGAACCCATCAACTTTAATAAATGTGTCAAACTTTGAAAATTAGGGTTGGAGAGTTGGCAATGAGTTGGGCTTGGACATGTGGGCCTGTCCAGATAGGAAGGAAAGGAACTCTTTCACGAATACATTAGATTTGACAACATATTCTGAAGAGTAGGATTTGATAATTGGAATTCATCATCTTGCGTTATATATTTTCCTATCAATGTGGACCACATCCAATTGGGCTTTATTACATTATAATGCAATTACTAGACTTGAAAAATTGATGAAAGATTAACAATAAATATTTCTTCAAAAAAAAAAAAAAATAAATATTTCTTCAAAAAAAAAAAAAAATAATATATATTATATATAAAATAAAGGTAATCTCTCTTTCTATATACTAAATAAACAAAATAATAGCCACAACCAACTAATAATAATTATAATATGTCACTTAATTAGTTTTATTATATAAAACAAAGAGAAATAAAATTTTTGTAGATCTAATTTTTTTATCATATAGATTCAAAACTTTTCATATTGCTAATCCTTCCTATTAATAAATAAGTCAATAATAGTATTCAGGTAAAACGTTTCCATTATTGATCTCACAAATCAAATTTACTTAACAATGCAGTTTACTTCAAATTTCCGTTTATCCAATCAAGTTAACCAGCTGTTTGTGGACTATTATTTTTATATCATAATTCTCTATCACAATTAAATTACAGAAAAACATTAATTACTTGAAAAACCGTTTTCTCAACTTTTCCTAAAAAAAAAAATTATTACAAATTTCCTCAAAAAAAAAATTATTACAAACATATTGTGAGCCACAATAAAATTGGGCTGAATGGCCCAATAAAACAACAACCGATCATAGAACGAAGTAAAAAGCCAGAATATCATTTTTATTTTTGAACAACAAAAAAGAGAGTTGCCAGGAAAGATCCACTCAATTGAGAAAGTGGAAGACAGACTGCTTGCAAATGAAGCTATCTAAGTCAACGTTTAAGTTATGTTTGGGAAAGTCAAAAAGCATGGCTCTTGCCACCAAATATTGAACTGGTCAAGTCTTTCAAATCTCAACCTTTAAACCAACAGCCAAACACCAACTCAATACAGTTATTCCGTGTTATATAAATTTGCTTACATTTCTTCTGCCTATAACCAAACCAATTAAAACAAATATTACAACAAAATGCAAACCATTTCTTACAAACATACCGCGGAAAGGCTAGATTATTCGGCACGGCAGTTAATGGCCGGAAACACTGTCGTCGGTGGCAATCAGATCCGGAGAAATAATCGTCTATCGTCGTCGTCTGCGTCTAGGATACGGCCAAATTGTACTTGCTCGAGTCGTCCCGGTTTAGTAAGGTGTAGCCGGCATGGGTATGTTGTGCCTGGTGATAATAAGTTGAAGAGACATCATGCTAATAAAGAGATATTAAGGAGGGCTTTGTCGCCGCCGAACCGGAAGATGACTCTACGGTGGTGGAATTTCCAACCGACGCCTAGTCGGCTCTCTAACATGTCTATGGCTTGAGTTGCAGTCCATGTGCTTCCTTCTGGATTTGAATTCCTTCAGTACGTTAGATTTTTTTTGTTTAGATGATGAGAGTTGTAAAATACTATTTTTTTAAAAGAAGTTTTTTTATCAAAACGACTCTAGAAATAGAATAAAATTAAAGAAAATGGAAAAAAAAAAATATTCAATTAATCTTTGCTTAGGTGGATTTGGTTCCGCCTATTCTGTTCGGTGAGTGGAGATGGAATATAATGTAATGTAATTAAATACATTTTTAGTGTAATACAGATGCAATTTTAGCTATTTATACTCTCCGATACCCAGCTTTAATTCAACTTGAACGGAGTGAGCAAAATCTATCTATTTGACCTCTAATAAATTTTTGAAAAAGAAAAGTATAATCTAAAACATCAAATACCAAAATTCATAATTTTATAAACAAGAACTAAAGTTACTAAACCGTGAATTTTGGGTACTAAAAAGTTTAATTTTAGAGTAATAGGCAGCAATGTAGTATTAATGGTGGTAAATCTTTATAAATTTGAATGCAGCCAAGAATTTTCTGTGCAAGTTCCAAATTCATTCTCTCCATCAATTTTGTTTAGAGGCTTTAGCCTTTAGATAGTTACGGTGATTGATAAATGTAAGATACCCAAAAAGGGGTAAAAGACTGCGGGTCGTTTTGGGTCAAAATTCTTCAATGACAATGAGTCCCAAGTCTCATCGGGAAACAGCACATGGAGTCCTCCGCTGACCAAGTGCAAGAACAAGCATATACAGAAGCCGAAGGTTCAGTTCAATCCTGCTCTGTGTCTCATGCTTTTATATGTCTCTTTCTCTCTGATCTAATATCTGCCCAGAATACTTTCTTAGCCAAAAATGTCAGATTATTTGCCTGATGAAGTGATGATACAAATCCTCTACAAGTTGCTCGCCAAGTCACTGATAAAATGCACAAGTGTATGCGAGTCATGGAATTCTCTCATCAATTTCATTTCTGACCACCTAACTGAAACCCTCAGCTCAAAAACCACTAATCCGTTACTCCTCATTCGCCTCTGCTTGTACGGGAAAGAGCAATACTCGCTTCATTCAGATAATGTAGAGTTCAATGAGTATATGCGACTTAATTTTCCTTTCAAGTCCATCTAGTACTTTCGCGTAGTTGGGTCTCACAATGGCCTACTCTGCCTCTTCGATAAAAGCATCGAATATGGGTACAATAACAGCATCATCCTTTGGAATCCTTGAATTAGGAAATTCTTTTCACTTCCAGAGCCCAATATTGAATACAATGTCTATGGCCGCTTTGTTAGGGACTTCATTGGTTTCAGCTTCAATTCCATCGGTAATGACTACAATGTCCTAAGAATATCTCCCTGGAACAGCGAAGAAACAAGGAGGCCCTGGAAGATCAGGCCGTGCCCCTATCATAATTTTCGAGGGAAAGATCTTGTTGAGGCTGAGCTCTACTCGCTTAAAGCTAATTCTTGGAAAAGTATTATGAATATTGCGCCCCAGTATTATACAAATTGCCGTGATGTTCCAGCTACTGTGAATGGTACAATGCATTGGATTGCGCATAAGAGGAACCTACTGGATGCATGAATTTGGTGTCTGTTTTTGATGTGAAAGATGAGGCCTTTTCCGAGATTATGTTGCCGGAGAGTTTGATGAATGTTGATCTCGTTGATTTGTCTATCATGTTATTTAGGGAGTCATCAATTGCAGTTGTCAAGAAAAATGGGTCTACTCCTAGTAACAGTAATACTATATGGGTAATGAAAGAATATGGTATAGCAGAATAATGGGTTAACCTATCGCTGCTAGATCAAGAAAATTCAACTGTACTGGGGTTTACAAAGAATGGGGAAGTGCTAATGGAACTATTTGATGGACAGATAGCATCAGTTGAGCTCAAGACACAAGAAACTACTAATCTTAGAATTCACGGACGTGGGTATTCTTTTGTTGATCGATATGTTGAGAGTTTGGTGCTACTTGACATAGGGGATTGTACTGAGGATACATCTGATAAAGAGGATATGAGTGATCCAAATGATGCAATTTATGTTCTTTCTGATTAAAAAGTATGCGAACGAGGCAGAAAAGGCAGGGGAAATCAGCTACGTGCTCTTTTTGCTTCTCTTATTTTGTTATATCTGTATGCTTATTCATCTGAAGGTTTTGTATGCATAGGAGCTGCTTTTAGTGAATGGAACTTCAATCAACATGTTTGGCATTCTTGTGAATGGAAAAATAACACCTGTACTTAAAGAATTGGATACAGGAGGTTAGACAATTGAGCTTTATTAGTTTATCCGGCTAACAAGGAGGTAATGAAAAATATAATTTATTTTTCTAACTATTATATTTTAATTTTTGCAAACATTACATTTATATTTCTATGTCTTATTAAAAGTAGAGTACTTTCAATATAAGTTCCTTTATTTTTATTACTCCATGCATTCTTAATAATTTCTAATTCTATTACTCTATGTTCATTTCTCCTTTTTTTTTAGCATATTTATCATTTATTTGGAATAAATAAATTTCACAAAATTTTATGGAATTTATTTATAAATCTAAATTTCTGTGTTTGATATGAGAAAATAAAGAATTCAATTCTACAAATTCAATTTTATGAATTTGAATATAATTGAATAAAATTATACTAAGAAAAGTGGAATTTTCTATTCCACAAATTTAAACGACCTAAAATTTTATGATAGAACTCTCCGTTCTCTTAACCTTTTGAAATTATTATGCCAAGGGTATTTTAGGAATAAAAATAAATGAATTTTAATTTTGAATTTATTACAAATATGAAAAATTTATTTACAAATGAATTTTATGTAGAATTCATTTATGAACGAATTTCATATTTTGAATTTATTTATACCAAATGGATCCTTAGCATTTTTAATTTTATTCTAGTCGACTAAAATTCACAAATATAGCAAATTGGCGTAACATTTACCATCTAACCAATTCTCAATCCTTCAATCCTTATTCTAGTTCTCTAGAATTTACAAACATAGCATGTTGGTGAAGCAATTTTGAAATCGTTTGATTCTTATTCTAATTTTCTAGAATGAACACAAACACAGCTGATTAATAAAGTATTTACCATGTACCAACCCCCAAAAGTTGGTGAAATATATAACCAAATTCTTAAATTATTTACTGCAGAAATTATACTAACACATTTAATACAATTAATATGCTATTATTGAAATATTCCACGTGATTCACCATTTAAATATTATAAAAATAAAGTTGCAACAATACGAAATTATCCAGACCTATCATCGAATCTTATCTCATATAAAAACAGGTCGGTTGCAATTTGTGCTTGATAAAAGAAGGGTTGAACACAATTTTAACGTTATCTTTAGCACAAAATAAAAAATATTAAGAATTTTTAATGTTGAAAATAAAAAATCAGCCAATGAAAAGGCAATGCGTGCATCAACTAACAATTGACTCAAATCTCTTTTCCAAGAAATTGAAGTTTTCTCTTTGGAGAAAAAAAAAATGAAAATTGTAGAAAATAAAATATCCGTTCATGCATGGGAATCTCTTTCTGCCATTAGCATATGTTCTTCGGCCTTTCTTTTTCTGCTATAAAATAAAATAAAATTCTTGCTAATCCACACTTTCTTTTTCTTCACTTTTCTATATAAATATAAATCCAAAGCCGCCACCAGGAAAAACATAATTACTATATAGTACCTAAGTTTTTGTCAAATATACCAATAAGAACTTTAGTTTACAAAATTGCATTAACGTCTTTGCATTATAACTCAATTCCACTATAAAGTCCGATAGTTAATTTTTTCGTTAAGCGACTATGAAATGTCAAAAAAGTAACCCTAAAAACAATTATCATGCAGTCCTTATAATTGATAAAAATACATCAGAAAATATCTCAATTTTACATTATTTAGCCCGTATATAATAACTATTTTTAATAGTATTTTTTATATTTAGGATATACATGGAAATACCTAGTTCGTATATACTAATCTTAAATATCATGTCTCTTCTGCCAAATATTATTACTTTACATTTCTAAATAGGAGTTTAATGATCCCGAAAAAGAAATAAGGTGAATTTGCCTCCTAAATCCTAAATGTTTGTACTGTGTACTTGTTACTTAAATGTTGTTTTTTATATAATTTATAACCCTATTTTATACTAAATGAATAAATTAAAAAGTTTAAACTTGCAATAAAAAGTTAAATAATAACTTTTATTTTTTTTTAATCGATAAAACTGTTATTATATTAAACATCATTGGTTTATGCTTTTTACTATAAGTTAGATTTTTTATTATTTAATATAGAATTAAGGTAAAATTGATTTTTGGATAAATTATATATCACGCTTCAAATTTAAAGATAAATTCAATTCTTTCTAGAAAAATTAATGGATTAATTTTCAAGTGATGAAATGATATGGTATGGATGTTTCTTTTTTCGCTTAACTGAAGATTTTGATTTTGAGCCCCCTAACAAGTATTTTAAAAGACTAAGAGGTGTATTAAATTAAGACTTTGTTAGATTTTAATATATTTTAAAATTTCAATGATATTTAATTTAGATTTTTTTAAGATCTATTAAAATTTTATGGTATTTAATTCAGACTTTTATAAAATTTATAAAAACTTAATAATATTCAATTATGACTTTTTAAAAGTCCATACAAATTTAATTGTATTCAAAAATTTGTTGATTTGAAATGATTCTATAAAATTATTTATTTTATTGTATTTTAAATTGTTAAAAATAAATGAAAGAGTCGTTCATAAATCCATCATCCAACCTAAAGATTTTCAAAATCTTTTAAAATATAAAAAGTCTTAATCCAATACAACCATTAATAGGGATAGAAGCGGAGCAGGCACCCGCGAAGTTCAAACTACCTGTATAAGTACCCGTTTAAAATTTTATTGCTCGTATCAATTTTAAATATCCATTTAAGTACTCGTATCCGAACCCATTTAAATTTTTACTACCATATATATCTAAAACCCGTTTAAAGTATCTCTTAAACGGGTTAGGTATCCGCGAATCTTAAACTATCCAAATTCGAACTTATTTAAAATACATTTTTACTAATAATAGATAAGTACCCGCGGATATCCCTTACTAAGCCCGTTTAATATAGCAATTGACAGGGTACGTATCCAAAGATCTATACATGTATTCGTTACGGATAGTAATTTCACTATCCATATCTGTTACGGATAATAATTTTACTATCATATTCATTCCACACTCATTTATAACTACTCATGTTTCCTTTAAATGTATCAGAGTGGATACTCTAACCCGTACCGCTTCTATCCCTACCCCTAAAGTTGTAAAGCAATGTATTAATTTTTGAATTAATTTCGAATTAATTTATGTGCTGAGAATTTGATATTTTGACAAAAATTAATTTTAATATTGCTGCAAAATTTTCAGAATTAATTTGATTATTTTCTAAAATTTTTACAGGTTGATTCAATTAAATATTAATTTAATCATTAAAAACATTGGAAAATTTTGAAATAGTCGAAGAATTAAAGAAAACAGTCTACCATTATTGTGGCCGGACTGCCAGCCTTCATGAGCCGCATGCTGCAGGCCGTGCATCAAGCCTATCTTGATGTGCGCGACCTCCTTGCGTGAGCTCCGACGGCCGACGCAAGTCATGACTACCGGTAGTTACTGATTTTAAGTTTTCAATTAATATATATACACCTGCGATTTTTGGGCGAGACGATCATTTTTCAGTCAACAAACAAGAAGCTTGTGGTCTTTCGACCATATCTCGATTGTTCTGAGAGTGGGATAGTCCACGACGATACTAGCCATTGCAGGCTTTTTACTGTTGGCGGCAGTAAGATTTTATTAAAGAAAAAAACGATTTTGGAAAGGGCGAGCATTTTTTTTTTTTTTTGGGCTTATTATTTTTCAGTTTTTTAAGTGGGCGTCAAAACCTTTTAATTTGCTTCCATTTTTTTTTTTTTTTGGTCGCTTATTATTTTTCAGTTTTTTAAGTGGGCTCAAAACCTTTTAATTTGTTCAATTAAGTTTTGAAATTAATTTTTGTAATTTCATCGAAGTCAATTAAAATCTAAAAAAAATCACACTAATTCCATAAAACTCTATATAAAATTCTAGTAAAATCTGTAAAAATTTTAAAAAATCTTTTAATATTGTTAAATTTAATAATTCTTTTAAAATTCAACAGGTCAGTAATCTAATACTCCTAAAACACTTGCAAGGAGCAATCTGCGCCTTTCGTAGCTTACTCCGTGTTAATCCGAAATTCCGAATTAATTAAATTAGGCTAGTACTTCGGGATGGTTTAAAAAAAAATTAATGGATTAGGTTGACCACACGTGCAAGAAAAGAATTCACAAGATCCACACGGTCAATGCATATCTTTGGAAATTGGAAGACCGACGTGGACACAAATCCGTGAAAATTACTGGTTATTTTTTTTTAATTTATTAAAAATTTTTACACGTCAAAATAATATTATAAATTATATAATAAATATAGTCTTTTTATCTTTTTTTTAACTCGTTAAATTAGTGAAAAAAATATAATCGGAAAAATTACTCCAATCACTGCGTGATTAACAGTTTATATAGTTTTTTCTTTTTATTTTAGGCTACTTACTGACTTTTCCTCTGTTTATTTACTGTTCTGACCACAAGAAGGTTTGTTTTATTTTTATCAATTCCATCGGGGATAGAATTCCGACGAGTAGCGTTGGATTCCGCTTCAAATGCACTGCAGGGACAGAAACCCCTTTTTTTTAATTATTTATCTTTTTCTTTTAATATGAATAAATTATAAAACAATTGATTAATCATATTTATCTTTTTGTTTTAATATGGAGCAATAATGAAGTATGTATAAAGATAAAAGAAACCTTCAATGGAAAATAATTATTTGTCATGTATAAATAAATTAATAAAAGATCATTCTCGAAAAAAAAAAAAAACATTTTGGTCTCTTTACTTTAATAAAATAATTTCTTATTTTCAAGAGAAAAAAAAAATACAATAATTCCTTAACTCCTTTCTCTCTATACATTTTTATATGTAAAACTTATTTATGAAAATTAAATATATATGTAAAACTTATTTATGAAAATTAAATAAAAAATAAAATTATGAAATATACGTATTTTTAACTATTTTGATCAAATTCGTAATAAAATTTTTTCTATACATTTATATATGAACTATACGTATACGACATCTCGTATCATCATTAAAAATGCCTAGCATATACGACATTTTGCGTCATCATTAAAAATGCATAACTGATGAACCAAAAATCAGGAGGAAAGAAAGGAATCATTCTCTTTGCATGACATTGAACAAAATCCTTTATATATTTGCACCAAAATAAAAAAATTATACCTTAAATGGGTACAAATTAAGGGCATCTCTTCATGGCATGGGATTTGCAAGTTCAAATTAAAACGAAGCTTGAAATCTTCATTTCATGGCTTCTCAGTTTTATCAAGAAGTGTAAAAGGCGTTTTGAGCTCAAGCTTATGCTATCAGAGATTGATGGCATCGATCCGGTTTATGTTATTCCATCCGAAATGTATCCACTTAAGGCTAAAACGAAAACTATCTAATTCCATGTTTTCTTGTATCTATTTTTGTTTTTATTAATCTATTACGTTTGCTTTCTTGATGTCGTATTAAATTACAGAATTTGTGCAATTAATCGGAGTTATTAAATCAAGATGGTTATAATAGTTAAATCACACAAGATTCTACTTCGCTGATTGAAAGATTAAATTGTAGAGTCGGTATTTTAAAAAGAACTAATTTCACTTGAAAGAGATTAGTCTCGTCCAACCGTTAAATAAGATTTAATTAATATACTAAAGATGGTTAGTTTATAAATATATTTCATCGGCTATTAGATTTACAATTATATATTTCATCCGTTCTAAAAAAATAATTCATTTTCCTTTTTGGTTTGTCCAGAATGTAGTTCACATTCATTTTTTCATATTATAGTTAATTCTTAAATTGTCTATTATACTCTTATTAAATTTTATCTTATTTTCAGTAATCCATTATTTATTATTAATTCATTTTCATAATGCTTATCACATTTGTTGTTTCAAGGAGTAATAAATATTTTTCATGTTTACCCTTTGTATATGTCAATAATTATTATTTCAATTCAATAGTTTTTCTAAAGAAATAGTATTAAATTAAGGATAAATAATCAATTTACTTAATAATTTATTGTAACTTAAACAAATTTAATGTTTTACTTAAAGAATGTGAAATTCCAAATATTTCAAATATTATGAAATAAATATAGTATTCTAATATAATAATTGGTCATATGTTGTTTAAAATGAATATAATAAAAAAATTATATAAATAAAATTATTTTTAAAATTTATACGAAAATCGAAAGTGAATTATTTTTTTGTACAAAGGAAGTATATATCTTTTATGCTTTGACAAGTAGGTAGATTATCCATACTTCACTTTCTATTTCTTTGACCTTTTTGAGAATGGTTATCCATATTGATTTGATGGAATTTAGATGATACATATCTGGAATAAAGGAATCTGGACCTCATTTGATAAAAAAAGAAATAAAAGTTTTTCTTTTTCTTTATTTTTAAGAATTTAAAGTTTTTGAGTTACTTGTCAATTATATATGAATTAATATTGTGTTAAATCCTTAACCATTTATTATTAATTTTCCAGATCATGATATATTGTGTTTTAGTACCAGATTTTCCACACCTCTCTTTTATAGGAAATTTTCTTAATTAATTAATAAACCTTTTCATGAAAATAACTTGAGATTAATCATAATACAAAATGTAAGTATGCCAAATTATCAACAACTGTCACATTGACAGTTTGGCAGTTACATGGTACATATACATTGTATTTAGCCTTTTTTTTTTTTTTTTTTTTTTTCATGGTACATATACAGTGTATTTAGCCTTTTGTTTTTTTTTTTTTTTTGTCTTTTTAGTTGAAGGTGACATCCATCCCATTCAGACACCCATAATGGATTGCAACAATTAAAAAAAAAATATCATAACATGATGCTTATTTTCCATTTTAACTTTTAGATTTACCTTATTCTACAAAATTAATGTTAATTAATTAATCAGGTTAAATTTTTTTTTTTTTTTTTTTTTGTCTTTTTAGGTGAAGTGACATCCATCCCATTCAGACACCATATGGATTTCAACAATTAAAAAAAAAATATATACATGATGTTATTTTCCATTTTAACTTTAGATTTTACCTTATTCTACAAAATTAATGTTAATTAATTTAATCAAGGTTAAGATAACTTTCCTTTTATGTTATTACCCATATTCTATAATACTTTTTTTGTTTTCTTTATTTAGAAAAAATAGAAAATGCACAGAAATTAAAATGGTAGCTAAACCCAATACTTTTTTACATTTTTTATCTAATATACCCCTAATTTGCATTGATTACTCTATTAATTGTGATGGAACCAACTCACAAAGAGAAATCCCAATGTCACATTTATTCAACAACTAATGCAGAAATGGAGGAAATAATTAAGGAAATGCTGTAATTGTTCTGGGAATTTAAAATTTTCAAATTTTGATTTTTATAATTTAAAATTTTGATTTTTCTTTATTTATATCAAGTATTGAGCAATTTTAATAATATGCAACCAAATTTAACAAAAATTTGAAGCCAAAGGTTTTTGTTACTGCAACAATCTCCTCAACTTCTATAATATGACTATATATAAATTTTGACTAACCTATATTATGTAATTGCATCCATAAAGTTTTTGAAAATAAAGGCAATAATTTTTTATACATTATGAATCTATCATTTTTATTTGATCTTAGTGACATTTCAACCAATTTAAACACATATTTTAAAAGTACGCCCACTACTTTTCAATTGCTACACTTAAACTACTTATTTGAGACTTATAAGAAATTTTTGAAAATATAATGTTGGTAACCAGATATAAAAACATGAGCACATATTTATAAATAGTACACATTTAAACTACTTATACTCCAACATGCCAAAAAGATTTGTGTCAAATATATTTTTGTAATACGAGCACTATATTTTTAACATGATCACATTAGTAAACTCTTTGATAGTTTACAATTCTGTGATAAAATAACCATTTACATTTGCAATGGAAACACAATGGTATTAAATGCCGAAACTTTTTTCTCTACCACTTTATCTTGCTAAAGTACTTATCATATTTTAAATTTTACGTCTTAAAAAAAAACCATTAAATTGATCTAAATTATAATAAATTAATGAGTAAATTGCTTATGTTATCCTTAATTTAATATTAATTTTCAAAGAAAACCATTAAATTGAAATAATAATTATTGATAATATACAAAGAATAAACAAGAAAAAAAATATTTATTACTCTTTGAAACTATAAGTGTAACAAATAAATATAGGAAGTAAATAGTAATATATGATCTTAATCAATTAATTTCAATTTAAAAAACTTGGACATAAATTTAATTTAAGTCCGATGTACGCGTGTTACCCAATTGCACGTTTAAATTCATTGCACATGTATATTGCCCTGTCACTATCTATTAGCTGTAGTTCTATAATATTATCACAACACAACAAATATTGAACCCAAATTTCAAAGCAATTTCTAATCTTTCTATATATAGTAATATACTCAATTCACCAAATCTGGATCTGTAAATCAAATATATCTCGCAATTAATTTAATTGACATTAAATTGTACAATTAGAATCATTGAATCTAATGCCCTGACAAGCCCATAAAAAAATTATTTAGAGCAGAATTTCATTTGCTCTAATAATAATAATAATAATAAATCTAACAAACTATTTTTTTTTAATCTCCTGCACAACTAGGTAATCAGGTAAAATTTATCTGGAGATATAGTTTGCAATTCGTCTCTCGTATTTTCTTTTCTAATACTCTTTTTGGAATACTAAACCCAAAAAGTTAGCCCAAAGAATGCCAAATATTTACAGAACTGCCCTCCATCTTGTGTGTTTCTACAAAAACAATAGAAATGGGCTCTCCTAAAGAAATATGCTGTCTCATTGTCTAAACCCGAATCCACTACCCGGTTGGGTCGAGAACCTACACCCGTACGGGTTTGAGAAATTTTGAGTCGAAACGCCGGAGTTTTGTTGAAAGAACCCCGTGTTATCAAGTCTCTGAGTTCTTATACCGCTTTGAACTTCCTCTTCAACCAAGTTAAGCATCTTCGAATCCACGTGTACACCTTGAGACGGTAAGGAAGGGACGTAAAGGTCATTACAAGTGCTATTCATATAACTCTGGTTCAGCATCCCCTGCGTTTGAGTTGGCCCACTAGGAAGGAGTTCAGATACCGGGTTCAATCCAGCAAGACTGGCCCAATCAAAATTACCCGAACCAAAATTATTGAGATTGACTTTCTCTTCATGATGCATTGGTTTGGCTGAATTGGTGGCCGGAATAGCAAAGAACCGGTCATCAATCTCCGGCAACGAGTCCAAAACATCGTCTAGATGAGAAGATGAGGAGGAACAAGAACCATTGTTGCTATATTCTTTGCTTGGAACGGTATTTGAAATGGGTTTTTGGGCACCCGAATTCTTTTTATAAATCCGACACAAAACCCAATCATCCAACTGCAAAGTAAAGAAACAAAAATTCCATAAGCCGACACTTCAAATAAAAAATTAAACTAAAAGTTACTTATTATTTTCATTTTAATACCTTTGTGCTTCCATTTTTCCGAGAGGATTCTAAGAGACGATATTCATGCATAATCCAATTCGTTTTGGTTCCTTTCGGAGCTTTCCCAACGTAAAAAACCAAAGCTTTCTTAATACCAACTTTGCGACCTTCTGTAGTGATAACTTTATCGGTACCAGTAGCTTTCCAGTAGCCGGATCCTGCAACCCGATTGGGTCTTGACCCGTTTGGATATTTTCGATCTCTGGGACTGAAGAAGTACCATTCTTTCTCACCAAATATTGCTTTGCCTGTAATGAAATATCAAAAACCAATAAATTTATTGACATAAATAATCAAATAAAGAAAAAACAATAATTGATATTGGATTTGAATTATTACTTGGCAAAACCCATGGATCAAACTTGTATAAATCAATTTCAGCAATTATTTGTAAAGAGAATTGTTGACCAGCAACTTTTCTACATAAATACTGCACTAATAGCTCCTCATCAGTCGGGTAGAAACGAAAACCCGGTGGCAAGCTTAATTGGGTAATCGGGTCCATTTCCAGAACTCCCATTTTCAGTAAACAATTTGCAGAATGAGAAACGATTGTTTGTTTGGTTAGAGAGAAAATGAAGCTGAATATTTTCTTCTCCTTTTCTTTTCTTTTTTTTTTTCCCTTAAAAATTAAGCTATGGGAAGTCTTATATAGAGGATATTAAAAGAAAGATAAATACGGTCGTCCTTGTCTTACTGTTGGATTAAAAGGCCCCACTTTATGCTTATCACCGTTAAAAGTGAGCCACGTGCCTTAATCATGCGGCCAATCTTATCCAACGACGGTGAATCAATTTAGATAGATGTAGAGGGAGAGTGTGATAGAGGGGAAGCCGTTTGTAATTTATGTCTTACTTGTTACTTGGGTGCATGAACCGTCACGAAAGGCGGTAATGAGTCATCGATATGATGGACACGTGGCAACTTGGAGAGGATATTCTAGAAATCAAAAAAGGTAATACCAATTTTTGCATGAACCAAAATTAAAAATACAAAATAAGAAAGGCAAGATAAATGTTTTAATTGGTGTGAAAGCATTTCCCATGTGATGACACGTGGATGCTTCTTACTGAAAGTGAAGTTAGGCTGAGAATTTTGTTTTTTTAAAAAGAAGAGAAGAAAGTGAAAGAAAAAGGTCGATGTAATGGGGGCTTGAAACTTTGACACGTTAATATAAGTTTTACTTTTTTTTTAATTTTTATTTTTGTCCTTTCTCCTTTTTATGGAGAAGGATGTATGAGATTAGGGTTTCTTTCACTCAATAACTTCTATGGACTAGCTTACAAGTATAATTAATTAACATATGGATTTCAGTTATAAAGCGATTAATCTTTACTATATTTTTATGTATTCAATTATTTTTTCCAATGAAATATAATTATATTTGGCATGTAAATAATTATGAGTCATTTCAATAACTATTTTTAAATTAATTTTATTAAATATAATCATATATATATATATAGACAATTTGTGTCAGAACTAATCTTGGGATCATGTATTCAATGGATCTGATCAGTTTAAGGAAATTAAATATTCGGTGACAATTTATAAGTACATAAAGCGTAATAGGTTTATTTAAACCAATGAAAATTGAATAAAATTTTCTATTTTTTTAAATATATATGAATTCGAATAAATAAAAAAAATTAATAGAATCAAACTTAACTGAAATCTTATCTAAATTGAACTCATGGTTAGATGTGATTCATGTTGATTATTTATGCAAAGAAACTAACTCAGTAATCAAAATTTTGAAATATTAGTTCAATAATTTTGTTTATTAAATGTCACGGTTTTAACAAAAACAGATTGATTAATGATGGGTTAGGTCAAAATTCAAGAAGAGGCATAAAGCTAGGACTAGATAGTTCTCATGATTAAGATTTTTAACCCTATTTTTTTTTCCTTTTAGAATTTTGTGGACGTGGAATAGTTTTAGAATAAAGAAGGAAGGAACGAGAGCATATCTTTTAAAGATGAAATTTTTGAATTTGTTTGGTGGGTCAAAAGGGCACGTAGAGAGGTATTGATCACAAAGATTTGATAACACGTGGTATTTTAAATTTTCTGTGGGGATTTGAATTCCTGCCAAATGTTCAAAGGCAATAAAAAAAGAATAATAATCCTTGATTAGCTATAGTAAATTCAAGAAAATTTTCGTCATTTTATGATTAGCTATAGTAAAGGTTTAGACTTTAGATTTTAGAAAATGCCACGTGCAGATAAAACAATGTTACAGTTAAGGATTTCAAATCACAAATGGGGAGTTTTGATTGGGTGAAAATGTTGCAGCTGTCATAAAAGTAGGAGATTGCGGATACCTACTTTTCAATTCAAGTAAGGGGAAATGAAATTCTACACGTGGATTTGAAATCCTGATGCTCGTGAAATCAAAGTTATAAGTTTTTGACTTGGTGGCCAAACAGAGAAAATTAGATTAGCAGCAATTCGTTTATTGAAAAGAATGTGATTTCTTTTCCCATCGTTTCTATTTTTGTTCTTCAGGAAAATTAAGGAAACTTCATTTTTCTTGATGCGTGCATTTTAGTCTTCCCAAATTATGATAAACATTGAATAAAGGAAGAATAATCAAAGAAGGAAGCTTGATTATAGGTGACGAAATAATTCCCGCAGAAAAGTAATTAGGTTAATGGAGGTGAGCTAAAACTTTTTCAAAGTTTTTAATGATTAATTAATTGTAATTAATTAATTTGTAGATGTAAATGTTGCAATTTTCTTTTTTTTTTTTGAATTTACAAACTTTTGATTCATAAAAAGATTAGAGGAAAGAAATAATAGAGAAAGACATGTAATTTATTTTGCAAATTAAGTAAAAACACTCAATTCAAATCAATTGTGGATTACTATTCATAGGCTGTAACAATTCTGATAGGTATGAAACTTTTTCGTTTAATTGAACTATATCAAAATTGAATCAGATTACTTTGGTTTGATCAAATGCTTTTCTCATCATAATTAAATCTGAACAATTGAAATTGGTTTGATACCAAAGTGGTCTGATTTGAAGTTGGTTCATTTAGCTTTTACTGTTTACTCCTAATTTTGATTGTCTTTTAATGTATTATTTTCTCTGTCTCAAAATATAGGTCGTTTTGAGCATTTTAAGAAGTAATAATTGATATTTTTTTAATGTTACGCTTATTTATATTAAATTTAATAAATACTTTTATAATTAACTATTAATTGTTGAATTTCTTTTGGATAAAGTAGTGCTAAAAATAATAAAAATAAAAATAAAAATTAAGATATGTATGAATAGATATTTTAGTAGCAAGAGCATAGATTGACCTTAACGAGACTTGGGCAACAGTAACGGTCCAAAAACTGTACAAGGTGCTAAAAAGTCTGCATGAAAAATGAAAATTGTTGGCTGCCAAAGACAAGTAAGAAGTTCAATAATATCTCAACACATTCATGAGATAGCAACCGACATGCCAACTTCCTGGACCTTATCATTGTGTGCCGACGTAATACAGCATCTATTCCTGCTCTATATTTACACATCGAATCAAAATTTAAGTGCGAAATCAATTTAAATGGTACTCGCTCTGTTTTTAAAATATAAATTATTTTTTAAAATTTAAATTTAAAATATAAATTGAATATTTTAAAATATATTAAATAATTTTTTCATGTCATTTTTATTTATATTAAATACAGTAACTATTTATATAAATTATATTTGATTTTAAAATAAATGTTAAGTTGGTTAAATTATCCTTGACTTTATTCTAATATAAGAGAGTTAATTACTTTCTTAATCGTCGTGCAAAAATTTTCAACGATTTATAATTTGGGATAGATGAGTAATAAATTAAAAATAAATATAAAATTAAAATAAAATCAGTTGTGTTTTAATTAATCTTTCTATATTTTAAAAGATGTAATTGTAATGGTTCTCTGATATCTTACCATATATTATTATATTCATATAAGGGGAATTATTCTTATTTTACTGCAAATGGAAACCATTTTAAGCGTTAATCTTGGTGCTTTTAGATAGATTTTACCATATATTGTTTTATATTTATATAGATATTTTTCCATGTTTATTGTTATGATCAACAATTATTGTTCAATTCCTCTAAAATTTGATATTTGAATTTATTAAATTAAAATAATATAGTCAATTTACTCAATAATTTATTATAATTTTAAAAAAATTTAATCATAATTTTAAAGGACACGAAATTTCATATGCGATAGATATTTATGAACGGATAGAGTAACAAGGAGAAAAAGATTTCACTCTTATCAAGTTGACTAATTCATTTAAATTATACTGGGATTCTTTTAAATATAAAATATTTTAATGTATGGTTCTAAAATAAAGTTAGTAGCCGCATTTACAGTCTAAATTGCAATTATTTTTTGTCAAAGGCTGCGTAATTAGTGCATCCTTTTACTTTAAATATTAAATCTATCATCTCTACTTACAATCTTTATAGAGTTACATACTAAATAAAAATAATATAATAATTAATAGCACATACTATTTTTCTCCACATTAGTCAACATAAATACAAAGTGGTACCATTAATTATCATCTCTTGACTATTCAATTCACGTGTTAATTTAAGAGCTTCTATTATTTGGAAAAACAAATTTCGGTGCTCATTATTCAGTGAATTCAGCTAGTATATTTGTGTCAGGTTAATACGAGTAAAAAGATTATAATATCTTAAAAGTTTCTTTTGCTAATCTAGATATGATCGATGTCGCACTAAGGATGCAGTTGTAAATAACCCTATATATATATAAAACCAAATTTCGTTGCTCATTATTTCAGTGAATTCAGCTAGTATATTTGTGTCAGGTTAATACGAGGTAAAAAGATTATAATATCTTAAAAGTTTCTTTGCTAATCTAATATGAATTCGATGTCGCACGAAGGATGCAGTTGATAAATAACCTATATATATTTATATATATATATATATATATTATAGTATATATGATTTCTTCAATTTAATATTAAGGACTATGATTTTTCAATAATATTAAGACTAGTATTTAATGGAAAAAGCTATTCTGAAACATAGTGCAAGAGAGAGTATTAATTGGTTGGGACCAATGAATTGAAGCCCACAAATCACAGTGGGCAAAAGGTGTCTTTCATTTATTTGTTTTCACTCTTGAGTCTTCAAAATAAAGAGGGCGTTAAGACTAGACCCAATTTAGTAAATAGCCGAAAAGCAATGACTATACCAGCCAACATTTTATAAGGTCAAATCTGCCAAGCATTGACGACATGAACCATAGACACATACATACCTTGTGTTTTTTTTTTGAAGTCAGAAAGTAACTATTGTCTGTCATTACTCTGCTATGCCCTTTGTATTTTATTATCATGTGAGCAAGTGTGCTATAAACCGCCTCTAGGCATGATACATGTGCGCCTTTCCTCCTCCATTTCTAGGGCTGAGACAATTGGTATAACCGACCAAATCGAATCGATTGGTTAGTTCCATTTGGTTTTTTTTTTTAAAATTAGTATAATTTTTATTTAAAAGAAAAGATTTTAATTTTTTTGATTTAGTTTAATTTTTGTTATATAAAATTAAAAACTTCAAAACTCTAAGAATTAAAATTAAATTAATCCAAAAATTAATTCAAAAATCGAAAAAATCAAAGTAACAAGAGTGGTTGGTGCCACTCCACATGCATGGATGACATCATGTGCCAAGATGATAATCATCGTACCAGATGGCCTGTTTTTCACATGAGATTTTTTTCTTTCATTTTCTAGGAGCACATGTTTTTATCATCATTTATAAATACTAAAATTAGTTACTTTTAATTTTTTAATAAAATAATACAAGTCAAATTTTTGCATATAAAATTTTATTTATTTACTTTTAGATAAAAATAAATTATTTAAGTTGAGATTTTGCACATAAAATAAAGACTATCTATATCAATATTATAAAATTTATTATAATTATAAAATTAGTATCAAACTCACTTATCAAGTGAGCAGCCATAATATAAAATTCTTTTCCACACATATCACCATATTCAAGTTAATAAAAACTTATTTAAACACTTAATCCAAATTAAAAATAAAATATTAAATATATTTTTAAAACTGTATAACATTCTTAGGCTCAGAGACATGTCTATAAAATTTTGGGCCCTAAATGAACTACTTATTTGGGCCTAGATGTGTCAAATTGGCACAGGATACAGCCCATTAAAAACACAAGCAAAAACTGATTACATTGATACAAAATAAAAAAGAGCAAAAACTGTTCCTGTGATTTGTTAGTACAATGTTTGCATCTTGATAATTCTTGGGGACCCTATTCTATAACAAGCTCAATCTTTCATCTTATGAGCATCAATTGTAGAGATAGAGAGACCTAAAAACTGATTTCAACTCTGCTTTTTAACTACTCCAACCCTCATAAGAGCAAGATAAGCAATAAGCCTATAACCCAAAAGCATAATACCTAAAGCAACAGCAGATACAATTTGCCCATCAAGACCTACTGTCTTCACTAAAGGAAAATCCCCAACTAAACAAACACTTTCACCACATGGGTATGTCTCATTAGCCTTATATTGAGAACCCACCAATAGCTTATATGTGTATTGGCTGATAGATAAGTACTTAATCCATGCAATGAAAGAAGGGACATGTTGTACATAATACCCACCGGCTAATAAAAATGATAGCATAATTACTGATCCTAATGTGGTAGCTTTTTTTTGATCCATTACTGCTGCACCAAGAGCAAGGCCTAGGCCTTGTGATACTAAAACACTATAGAGAAGAACAAATAAGGTATAGAAGAAATTCTGTGGTGTGGGTTTAAGCCCTGCCATCCAATAAGTTATGGTAATAAATACAGTTGGAAGGACTAACTCCATTGGAAGATCACTAACCAGTCTTGACATGAAATATGAGGATAGTCTATATGTGCCTGAAGATCGTTCTTTCGCGAGCATTCTTCGTTCTTGAGGGAACGTGAAAATTGCTTCAAATAATGGGAAGAAACCCCAGAAACCCGAGTAAAAGAAAAGCAGCCCAATCTGCATATATGTACATGTCATGATCTTTATTATATAGATAAAAATGAAGATGAAGTAAATTGGAGAAATTAATTTTAAACATACAAGCTATTAATTACCTGATCTTGCAACTGGGAACAATTCCACCATAGTAAACCTGAAAGGAAAGCTACTACTAGGATCTGTCCAATCTTGAGACCAGAGAAGGACTCGTGCTTCCTTTCTTTTATTCCTCTTCTAAATAATATCGTAAACTGTTGCACCCAAGTTGTGGCCCATTCTGTGAATTTCTTATCATTTAATCCATCCTGAAGTTGATTATTATCAATGGCTTCAACCTCTGCCTTCAACTTGTTAGCAAGATTGTTCTTATAGGCCGAAAATAGAGTCTGCTTGACTTCAGCTTGGTTCTCGCATGAATCACTAGAAGGTGATACGCCTACAACACATGAGCAAACAATTATCATATTATTTTGGGGAAAAACACCAGTTTAAACGCTATCAGAAATTTAAAATAGTTAACGTTGTTTTCAAAATTTTATGATCAAAACACATAAATTTACCTTATAGTAAATTGAATTTTAACTCTCTCTTTTATACACATTCTCAAATTGTTACTTTTTCTAATAATAACCCAACAATAAAGTTAAACAGAATTATGATTTGGAGTGGGTATATTCTTTTATTCCTGAAAGTTATCAGACGTCTTCGTGTGTAACTGATCTAAGAATATCCCTTAATAAGCAACTAATGAGGCGACAGAAAGAGACAGGAAACGCATATTATGAAGTTTTTGGTTGTCACTAGATATTACCAAAAGAGAGAAATATATGAAATGGTAACAACCGAAAACTAATGACCAAAAAGAGAAATATTACCACAAACAGAAATATTAAATGTTACAAACAAATAACAAGATGATAATAATTTCCAGGATTATGAATCAGCAAGTTCAAACTCCAATAACAATATACTGATAAAATAAAATAAAAAGGTGAACCGAATTAATAAAATGGAAAAAAAAGGTTATAAGATTATTGCGACATACCATTTGCAAGATCCAAAAGAAAATCTGAAGGATTCATGGCAAATGAAGGAGTATAGCCAATACTAGAAAAGTAATCCATAACTTCTAATCCTTTGCCAAAGTAAAGCGGATTCCCTTCTGATAACAATAAAACCTTATCAAACATATAAAAAAGCCTACTTGATGGCTGATGTATAGTCATAACAATTGTTCTTCCTCCTCTTGCTAGTTCCCAAACAGTAGACACAATTCTTTGAGCAGTTGTGGAATCGAGACCAGAAGTTGGTTCATCCAAGAAAAGCAAACTGGGATTTATTAGCATTTCTTGACCTATACTAACCCTTTTTCTCTCACCACCTGAAACTCCTCTCAAAAATGTATCTCCGACTATACAATTTTTGCACCTAACTAAACCTAATTGAGTAATAACAGCCTCTGCATGCATAACTTTCTCTTCTTTTGTTAAACTATTAGGTAATCTGAGAAGAGCGGTGAAAACTAGGGTTTCTGTCACAGTCAAGTGAGGATAAAGAACATCATCTTGAGTAACAAAACCAGTATTTCTCTTCACAGCATTAGAAAAGGGTTTGCCATTGTAAGTTATAACTCCCCCAAGTTGACCACCAAGTTTGCCTCCTAATGCAGTCAATAGTGTTGTTTTCCCACTTCCTGAAGGCCCTAACATGGCTAGCATTTCTCCAGGTAGAACAGTGCCTGTAACTCCCTTTAATATCATCTTTTCTTCTTGTTTTAAACCCTTTTGACATAATGTACCTCTTTTATTGGATACAACTTTGTAGATCACATCTTCAAACTATAATAATAAATGAATAGAAAACATTAGGTTAGTTAATTCAAAAATTGCCAAAACATTGAACCTAGCTAGCTAGAACAAAATTGATGAGGATCCCATGATATTATTAAGCATAATATATAAAAAGAAAATTTCAAGAAATTAAAATTGCTACGTATTAAAGAAAGAAAGAGGTGAATTAGGTTTTAATCTATATATTCATAAAAAAAAGGAAAGTTAATTAATTTCTTTATACCTTCAAAGTAAGAGGGCGATTGGTTTTCTCGAAGATGGAAACGAAATCTTCGGGCTGTTCATTCGTAGTCGTTTGTGCTTCTATGTCCTCCATTTCTTTCTGCTTTATTAATTTTTGACTGATATGTATTCCTTTTTTTTTGGGTATGTGCACTGATTGTTTGCTTTTTGTGGGTAGAGTGTATTGGATGTGTGAGCAAGAAAAACAAAAGAGAGGGAAGAATTTTAGAAAGGGTTCATGCGAGTCAGATGGGCTTTTGCGAGGTAATGTGTCGAACACGGCTTTTTTCTCTCTTACTTCTATTATGTGGTTTTGTTATCTTTTACTTGTAATTTTTTCGAACATGGAAGCACTAGGCAGCAAAGACTAGTACTTGTATCCATAAACCTTTTCGAACTTGATTAGGTTTTTTTTCTCTTTTCGGTAGTCGTACGCGCATATTTAATTACACTCTTTGAAAATGGAACTAATCTCGATCTAGGATTATTTGCCTTTTTCTATAAAAACTTTATTTAGTTTCCAATTAAGATGGGCCTAATTAACTTAAGAGGTAAAGATTTTTTACCTTTTCAATAAAATATGATTTCTAAAAATTAAAGTAGGAAGTAAAAATTTTTTACCTTTTCAATAAAATATGCTTTCTAAAAATTAAATTTGGTTCTCACTGTGGACTGTTAACCACTGCAATCAACACGTGAGAGGTGATTGGGCTCATGTTTTTGTGTTGTTGACTTATTATTGTGGATTATGACTTGATTTAGAGGTTCCAATGTCTTTTTCTGATTCGTTCAGAGGTTATAGATAGAATCCCATTCTAATAAGATTCCTCCTCCCTTTTCCTTTTTAACTGAAAAAGAATTCTTTTTTTCGTGCTGCTAATGTCGTAGTATTAATTATCATTTTATTTTTCTTCTATAATTAATTAGCTATAAATTTTATCTATCTACTATCTTTGATTCATAATACTTGTCACATTTGCAATTTTACGTTTTTTAAGAAAACTATTAAATTTGTCGAAGTTACAATAAATTATTGAGTAAATTAATTAAATTACTCTTAACTTAATATTAATTCTCTAAGAAAACCATTAAATAGAAGTAATAATTATTGGTTATATACAAAGGGTAAACATGAAAAAAAAATTATTATTCCTTGAAAACATAAATGTGACAAGTATTTTGAAACAAATTATTTTCTCAAATTTAATATGATAAAGATTATGGAATGGAGGTAGTATAATATTTGTCTATTTATCTATATAGGAATAGGGAAGAATAATGAGATTCCTCTGCCTTGATAAAATTTGAACATCGTAAAATAACCGTTATGATCAATTAAAAATTATATTTTATTAGTTGATTCGATATAATTTATTGAAATTATTTTTTAAATAAATACATATAAATAATTAAGTATTTCAAAATTTTAAGTTTTATTTTTTAAATTTATTTTTTAATATACTATGATAAAGAGACATTTGAAAATTTTTATATTTTATGAAGAATTTGAAAAAATTTTTATATTTTAATTTTATTTATTTTTAAATATTTGATTCTATTTTTTATTATAATTTAAAATATATTATTTAGGAAAGAGATAAAAAAAGTATTTTTTTATAATATTCTTTCTATTCATATTAATCTCATATAAAATTTTATTTAATATTATAAAAATCTAAATAATAAAAGACGAAACTTATAATCGATATTTAAAATTAAAAAATAAAAGAGAGTATAAATAACAAGTAAAAGTGAATAAATATAAAAAATTAAACGAATACAAATAACGCACACCATAAATATACTAATAATACATAAAAGTAGAAACATGCGGAGAAACATTAGGGTTATCAAAAATATTCCTATCAAGTTTATGGATTGACAGAAATATCATTAAGAATTTTAATTTTATTGGTAAAAAAATAAAGAAAATTTAATTTTAATTGATCATATTAATTTTCTATTAAAAATAAATTTTGATTGGATAAAATAATAAATTATGTTATATACTATACAATGTATATATAAAATATAGTAACACTAAGGTTCCACCTTTCCTATAATATAATATGAAATAAGATATATATATATAAATTATATGGTAATATAATTGTCACGACCCGTTTCCATGGGTCGGACCGGCACTAGAGCCCAGGTAAGCTTAAGGCTCCCGAGGCCCGTAGTAAGCCTAAAACACTAAAATTTGCTATCTCAATATAAATTTCAAATATTTAGCCCATATTACTAAAAAAATAAACCTCAAGATTTTATTACGTCTCGGCCCAAATTTATCTTCTACAAAATTTCACAGTTCGGGCCCAATTTACAATACATCACGTTTCTAATATGGGCTCACAGAATCATCTCGTCTATGATAATATAATATACGACTAAAATGTAACGTAAAGTTCTACAACTGCAGAGTCAAACTACTGTTTTGAATATACATAGCCCTTTTATACATACAGTTACATTAGTAAAAATAATTATGGAACTAGGGAAAATTTCTTTAGTGCCCCTGCATCGAAGGAAACGTAACCTAACTTCGAATGAAGAAAAACTTACTTCCTGAAAATAACAAGACATGTAGTTTTCCTAAGGAGTGGGAATTTATTTTGCAACAACACAACAACAGTCCACATGTGTAAACATATCAATCTAGTCTCGACTGGTTATATGCTCACGCAGCCATCCAACACAATGGCACATCACCAGCACTCACAATCATTAACATCTTCAAATATAATCACATCACGTGGAAATTAGTCAGTGGGTCACCGAACCCCGATGAGCGTCTCCCACATGGCTCATCCTCTCACATGTGCACTAGGGAGCCGAATCCCACATACTGGCCAATCACGGTCTAACCTCACTTACCAGTCCTCTCATTTGTTTCCTATCCTCTCTTTTCTTTTTCATAAACCAACAGGAGGCAAACCGGCTGGTCTCCATCCAATCTAGATCATCAAGCGCTCAACAACAGGAGCTACCTGCGGGCTTTGCGATCAATCTAGACTGTTCCGGTGTGCAACGACCGAGAAGCCAACCCGTGGTTTAACGGTAACGTAACGGTAAGGTGCACAGGGGCGCCGATACTCCCCATTTACCGGTAACGGTAATCTATTGGTATCCATAATAACGGTAATGGTCTCATAAACCCATGTGGACTCACTTCATCCCAAATTCCCACACAAACACACAAGCAATATCAGAACAACAATTAATCAAAGTATTGCAATTAAATGCAAGCATAATTAATCAATTAAACATCGTAATGCAACTGCAAATAAACAACATAAATAAATAGTATTAACAATAAACAACAATAAATAAACTAAATAACAATAATATAATAATGGAAATAAATAAATAAATAAATATGTAAAATGAAAATAAATAAATAAATAATGGAATACTTAAATGAATAATAATGAAAATAAATAAATAGTTAGAGTACTTCATTTATTATGTATCAAATTATAGAATTTATCTAAATAAACTTATTAATTATACTGTTAATTAAAACTAGTCTAAGTTCTATCGAAATTTCGGCAGCACCTCCCCTAAAAATTGAACTATCTAAATTAGACTATCTACCTGCTCAAATATCATCAATATTATATCCATCAACCATTACACACACAGCCCATCCATCGGGCAATCAAACAAATTAATTTCCATTCCTCCATATCAAGTAATAGTATAAATATTTAATCACAATACAAAACTTTAGCTATTAACAATCCAAGCTTCAAGCATCACCATTGGTTATTTACTACTTGCACAAAAATATCCTTAGCTTTGCTATCATGGATCACACCAATTAACTAATTTCACGCAATAATTAGATTTACAACCTTAATTGTACCATGTCAAACAATACTCAATAGAAATAATTGAAAATAGCTACTGCTTTTTACCAGACTCATAAAACTTTGTCATTAGTACCTTTACACTCACAACAAATTATGAAGGCACATTTGTTCCATCAACATAAACATGGTTCAAGCAAAAATCCGTTAATTCCGCTACCTAAGGCTGTCACTTATCAAAGAAACCTTAAGTGTTTGGTTAAACTCATGCATTATACGATGGTTAACCCATTCCAATCAAGAAAATTTACAACTTCATTTGCTTCATATCACAGATTTAATTCATGAAATAAACTAAAATGGCTGCTGCCAACCTAAGAAAATCAAGGTTTCTCGATGAAAATCCATACTATAAATACTAGTTGACTCATTTACCAACAAAAATTTTTTTTTTTTTTTTTTTTTAAGAGTAACGCTTAAAGTTCCTTTCAATACTAACAGTAACTACCTAAGGGTTAATTCCTAACATTCCAATAATACTACAAATCATAATCTCAAATGAAAAACTCAAGAAATAAACTCAAAAGGATTGAATCAGGGCTTACCATCGACTGAAAGAAGCTGGAGTCTACCCATCTTGCAATGGAGTCGTCGGAAAATCGGGTTGAAGATGCGACACGATTTCCTGATCAAACGAAGTCGTGGGTTCCCTGCAATAGTTGTGTTCACCAGAGACGAAAGGAAAGAGATAGAGAGGAGACCGGAGCTGCTGCAACGAGGAGGCGACGAAAAGGAAGCGGTGGCCGAGGCGCTGGTCTCCTGCCGTTGCTGCGTTCGCCATAACGAAAAGGGAAAGAGAGGAGGAGAGGCTGGTGCTACAGTGAGGCGGCGGCGTGGCAAGGATGCGCGGCGAGGAGGCGCTGGTTCTGGTGGTCGGAAAACCAGAGAGGAGAGGCAGCGAGGTCGCACCAAAGAAGAAGAAGAGACAGAAAAAAGAAAGAAGAAAGGCGGTTTCTAGCAAATTCTAGGCCATTCCGGTTCGATTCAAACCGGTTTGGTCTGATTTAGTGATTTGGTCTCATTTGTTGATTTTGGTCTCATTTCGTTGATTTTCAAGTTTTTCACTCGGTTTTTGGATTATTCGTGTGGTCCTCGACAAATTAAACTGATTTTCAGGCCTGGTTCAATTTATTTTAACTGTTTAGTTCAGTTCCGTAATATTTTCTTTATTTTCTTGATAATAATAATAAACATATTAATAGTAACAATATTTGGTTTTTAGGATAATTAATTTATATATATATTCATAATATGTTAAATTTTGAGGTTTCGTATTATTTCTCAAAAATTTTAATTGTTTACGAATCAAAATTTCTTTTCGACATTTTATTTGGGCTTGGGCCCAGCTCGTGAAACTTTTGGGCTCAAATTAGAATTGTTCACTGTTTACGGCCCATACCGTAGT